CACTAATTTGATTCACAATGTTAATACATGCATTCGTTGAGTGAAGGATATGGCCCATATCAATTCCATTTAGTTCTTGTAAATGTATTTCAGATTCAAAATTATCAAATGATTGGTTTTCTTTTGCTACCTTATAGGGTGTGCAAAAAATTCTTTCAAGTTTTGTCATCTTTCTCTTCATTTTGCAATATGAAAAATGGTGCCGGTATACCGTACCAGTACATACAGTCTCAAAAAAGCCCTGGCAGTAACATTAGTTTTTATACTTCAAAGATGATGTTGGTATTTTTGAAAGAAAATAAAAGTTTAAAGCATACTAATTAAATATTAGTAATAGCTTGGCTAATTTGCCATATGCATTTTGGTTTGGTTTGTAATCCTGTGTATAATCTTTTTTATCTTTAACATAACATTTTAAATAAAAAGTGAAAAGTTATGGTGTCATAGCTCTAATATCTACTAATTTCATCCTTCTATAAGTGCACAGAAAATATCATTATTCAGATGTATTCATGCAATATTTCTAAATATTTGGGCTGTTTATTTATGTAGTTAATCACATCCATGTTGACCAGATGTCTCAAGGTCATAAGCATGTACTAGTTCTTTCACATGAGTAAAAGTTACATACTGCAGTCTTTGTTCTTAAGTCTGAAGCTATAACTTTACACATTTCTCTATAGCCTTCTAGGAATGTAGCTTATTCAAACAAGTAATACAGTAACCTGTACAAGAAGGCTTGGGATGGGTAGAAACTATTGGTTGAAGTATGTAACCTGCTCTGTCTTGTCCTTTACTTTTGGTCTCCCTTGTCTCTAAAGACCTTTTCTTATCCCCAGCACCCAGTTTAATCACAAACATGTCATTATGAATAAAGACTTTGTTTTATTTGTTCACTTATGGTTGTTTCAATCCTTTGCTCTTCAAGTTTGAAATTATTCTCTGCAGTACATTTCCAGAATCAGTGTTCTTGCAGATACTTTACACTGATCTGTTAAGATATCACTGAACCAGAATATCACAGTAGCATGAAAAACTTAAAACCAGATTATGAGTCTTTCATTGGTTTTTGTTATAGTTATGGTTTATCCTCCTCTTAATTATGCTGTAATTCTGATTATAAAGGTTGTCTTATGAATAACGATTTGGTAAATCAAAGCTATTAGAATTTCAGATTTTGATATGTACAAAGTGCTCTTTATTTTTATATATCTCTATCAACATTGGCATGTGTAAGGTCTGAGGAGTTTGTAGTTTCAGACTGATTTTTTTATACATTTTTTTGTTTTGTTTTATCTTAGGTACAACGCATTATCTTCTGCCTTTATCTTCAGAAAGACATGACTATTTACGAGGAGTTGATGGAGGAAATTTTTCCTTGTGAGTCATAATTAAAATTCCTTGAAAAATTGTAAGTAGCAGTAAAAAAATAAGATTGATTTTTCTTACTGTTTCCAAAATGGGATTTTTTCGTTGTATAGCAACTAAGGTAATCAGTTATTACCTGTGATGACACTTGTGGAGTATTTGTTTGAATTTAAGGATTCAGATCAGAAAGTGATATAAAACAAACAAGGACTAAACAAGTTTAAGATATCCTTATAGAGTCAAAGGCTAATGATTCAGAAGGATTTTTTATTTTTTGCGACATAAATAATGTTTCTCTCGCATATCTTCATGTACAGTATACTTTACTTTTTGTAAATTTATCTAATGTATATTAAAAACATTCTTGTTTAAAAAGTCAAATATTTACAGTATTAATGATACATTGTAAAAATATCAAAAATTTAAACTGAAAGAAGAAACTTACTAAATGGAAAACCCAAATTGCTAATAGGTAGTATAGTTTTAAAGCTCATGTCAAGTTATAATCAGTTAGAATACAAACTAAGCCCTTTAGACCTTTGACAATATATAGCAACATTTTTATTTGTATGTTTGAATATGATAAACTAAATTATAGATACATTTTTATTGATATTTCTTTAAACTAGATATATTTTGTAAAATTTGAAGTGAATCCTTAGTCAAATAAAGTGTGAAAAATGTAGAACTAGAAAGTTTCATTTTGTTGTTGAGTGAAGAAGCTTATTAATTTTTTTTTGACTACTTTTGTTATGCTGTAATTAGTTTGGCTTACTAGTGCATACGTAAATCAAGTATTACCAGATGCAACACTAAACACTTAAATGCTAACATGTAATTTGTAGCTTATGAAAGTTAGTTTAGATTATGACTCAAATCAAACCAATTACTAACAGTCAGAGTTTAGTTAAAATCAGTGATAAAATAACTTACATGTTGGTCTTCATGCTGACACACTAAACCAATTACTAACAGTCAGAGTTTATTAAAATAAGTGATAAAATATCTTGCATGTTCGTATTCATGCTAACACACTAAATCAATTGCGAAAGGTCAGAGTTTATTAAAATAAGTGATAAAATATTCTGCATGTTGGTCTTCATGCTGACACACTAAGCTAATTACTAAAGGCCAGAGTTTATTAAAATAAGTGATAAAATATTCTGCATGTTGGTCTTCATGCTGAAACACTAAACCAATTACTAACAGTCAGAGTTTATTAAAATAAGTGATAAAATATTCTGCATGTTGATCTTCATGCTGACACACTAAACCAATTACGAAAGGCCAGAGTTTGATAAAATAAGTGATATCATGCATGCTGGTTTTCATGCTGACACACTAAACATGTATGAGCTGGGTGAAAAAAATAGCACTGTTATATGCCAAAATTTTTATTAAAACAAAATTATATTGGATGCTTAAAAGTAGCAGTTTTTATGTGTCCAACAGGATGTGCTGGAAGAGACTAAGTTATCCACAGATTCACATTTCACAAATTTTATTAAGTCTACTAAATCAAACAGTACAATCAATTTTTGCTTCAACTTTTTCACAAGGAAAACAAAGGTAAATCTCAGGTCATTTACACCTATGGAAAAGAAAAAATACACTAGTACAATAGGATACTTCCAAAGCCTAATGATGTTTTGTGATCAGTACAGGATGAGATGTTGATGTGAATTGGTAACATTCCTTATATAATTTTATAAGACTCAAGTCTAATTGAACTACATAATATCATAAGTATACAGTGAACATTTTTTGTCTATGATGCAGTCATTTGATTTGCCTGCAGTAATTTGTATCTTTGGTGATCATTTGAAAATGCTGTTTTAGATTTAAAAGTTTAAAGCTATTAGTATTACTAAAACAAAAAATCTCTTCATTAATTTATTCTCATTAACTTAAACATGTTATATGTATAGTTAATTGTGGCAAAAATCTGTGTATATGTTGCATTATATTTTTCCCGATCCCTAGTGGCATAGCAGTATGTCTGCAGACTTACGGTGCTAGAAACCGGGTTTCGATACCCGTAGTGGGCAGAGCACAAATAGCTCTTTGTATAGCTTTGTGCTTAACTACAAACAAACAAAGGTTTTTCCCAGTTAAATATAATATGACCACCAATGTTTTACAAATACATGCATTTGAATTCGAGACCTTTTGTTATAACTGCTCCATGCCCATTTGTAGAAATGGAAATTAATGAAAAGAATTATGACTAACCCAGCTTTTTAAATCAACTATTTTTATTTTTGATAGAAGCACCTTTTATCCTTTTCACTATACTTACTTAATAAATGGCATACTCATTTTTCTTTTAAAATTAGTTTCACAATATTATTTGTTATAATATTTAAAATACTTCTAGATATCATTATTATTATTTTATTGTGACTAATTTTTACACTTGTGGAAATTATTTTGTATTATTAGCTTAGTATATGGATTTAGAACAAACCTGAATTGTTAAACTGGCTCAAGTTTCCAAGATTATATTAGAATTATACCTAAATATATTGTAGCAAGGATACCCAGTTGATGATTCAATGTATCCTATATAGGTTCCAGTTTTCTTTTGTGATAATTTATGACAGTATGTATTTTTACTGGTTGGATATGTGACTTCAATTAATTTATAAGTTACTATTTAGTTCTGATTTATTATGGTTAGCCTACTTCTGATAAGAAGAACTAATAATTACACTTTTCAATCAAATTTGATCTAAACTTTGTTACAAATAAAAATCAATTTAAAATGTTTGACCACACACACACACTAAATGGATTTATGTATTGTAAAACATAATTATAAATAAGAATATATAAATGAAAATGATAACTCATATTGTGATTCAGTCTGATGCATTTCATCACTTGAGTTTTTTATTATTTTACTTTTGTTTTTTTCATGGAGGGGATAAAGAGTACTATTAAAATTAGAAAAAAGGGTTGACTTTCAAGATGTAGTCTTGAGAGACCTTGAGTTCCTAAGTTTTTGATTTAGTACCCAGTATTGCAACTACTGCTACTACTATAAAATCTATATTATGGCCAAGATAAAATTCTACTAAAATGAGCCTATGTATTGCTCCACAGCATTTCTGAAGTTTTTTACTTGTAATCCTGTAATTGTAATTTTTTTGTTTAAAAAAAGTATTTTAAAATTCTCAAATTCTATAAATCCTCAATTGGAATTTTAAGATTACATTGTGCCAAGAGAATAAAAGTGATCTGTCTAATTCCAGATCCATCAAAATATTCTATATATATATA